GATAATTTGTGTGCCACAAAGATGGTGTGTACATATGCAAAAGAAGTACAAGACTGAGACTTCCTACCATGTGTTAGAAATACTGGCCAAAATAATTTGCACTGTGATATTTAAATCAGACTTTTAAAATCCCTGGTTGGAGACATATGCAAGCAGTTGATTTTTGGATCCTTTACAATTTTCTCTCTCTCCTCTTATTTACAGTAGGTACTCAGCATCTCTTTCTCTCTCTCTCTCTCACAGACACACATGCATGCACATAAAGTCAGTTAAATTATTCAAGGGCTTCAATTAAGCACTGGTTGCCTGATTGTGTTTGTCCAAATTTGAAAAAACTGTTGCCTGATATCAAGCCTTATTTCTCTTTTCCCTCATTGCAGTCTATCTCTCCCTTTGAGCACACTGATGGAAAAAATGAAAATGTGCAGATGAGCTGTTCATTTTCAATCAGGTTGATGTTTAAATATGGCATCAGGAAAATAAGAGTGTTAGAAACACAGTTGTACATGAGGCATCCCAACCACCGTGCTTGGGATGCCTCTGCATCACAGAAGCGTTGGTTATCCATCCTAAGCAAAGCCAGATGAGGCCAGAGGAAATGTAGTTAATAGAGAAAAAACTACTGGCAAATTGCATGCCTTTCAACCAATGGGATAAAAGAAATATGGATTAGTGCTGGGACCAAAGTTTTTATTACGTGAAGAACAAGATGTGCAAGTGCCTGAGTTTATGATATTAAAAAAATGGTGCTAAGTGTATAAATACACACATATGGATGCATATATACATATATGTATGTATATACATCAAAAATATTTATATAAATATTTCTTTGGGCCTTTTTGTTTTGCAAAGCTCCCTTCAATTAGCTCCCAGCTAATTTGTCAGTCTGCATTGCAATTACTAACAATTTAATCACCTTATAAACTTTCATAGTGACTAACACCACATCTATGCTTTTGGCACTCCATGGTCAGAAGTTGTTTTAGCAACAGCGGTATGTAAAGCAGACACACTATTTGTGAGGCTCAGAGCCCTTAAAAATCATTCCTTTCTCTCTGGGCTATCGACATTCCTGAGCACTCACGATGCAGCTGCCAAGCCGCTGGACAGCCCACATATGGCTGTGTGCTGAACAATAGCAACTCCTTGTTGTTCTTGTTATAGGCATCACCATATGTGTTTATTAGAAACAGCAATAAAATGATGACAGGCTTCTTCAGCTATCCCCACTGCTTGGGGAAAAGAAAAGCAAGGGAGAGATAAAATCAGAGGGTCCTTTTCAGCTTTGGGGAATTGGGAGTGGGGTGGTACAATCCCACTCTTTAGGGAAGCATGGGTGTTTATTAATTGTAACATTGCCAAGTTACTGCTGGTCCTATAAATGGACACTGAACCTAAATTCTGTTTCATTCCCATTTATTAGAGAGCTGCTAGTACCTTGGAAAAACTGAATCCTGAAAGTGTTGGCATCTGAAGTCCTGTTCCAGCAGGGCCCACCTGTAACCAACTTGCCAAGTCATGCAGAAGAAACATCCCAACCCTTTCAAGAGCTTTGGAAGAGGACCACCCTTGTCATTTACTTCCATCACAAACAGATAGTGTGGGATCACCCTCATCGTTGGGGTGCCTTGAAAGTACTTTCTAATCCCCAGTAACTTGGGCTGGGGATTTGATGTTTCTCAGATGGAGGGGCTGAGGGGGGAATCAGGAGCCCAAAAAAACCCACAGAAATGGTTTATGGCTGTTTTGACATCAGTGTAAAGACACAGGGATCCTAGGGAAGGGGTGTTCAAAGTTGAAAGTGGAGATTAACTAAGGCAGTCAAACCAAACATCTGAATCCTCACATGCCTCAGGTTCTGTATTATTTCTTTATTCTTCCACTATTTGCTATACTTAAAGGCAAGAGGAGAAGAAAAAGGAAGTTTGTGAGCAAAACCAGCAGAGTTAGTAATATAATGTACTTCAACATGTAGCCTAACAAAATTTTGATATCCCTGATTTTTATAATCTGTATTCAGAGACATGTAAATCATTGGGATTGAGTACTTATGTCTCACTTAATGAGACAGATGTGAATCTCTGCATGCATGATCCATAATTTTCATGTGCAAATCTTGATATTTTCTTGATAATTAGTAATTTCCTATTTGGTATCAATTTGAAACCAAAATAAAAACCTCGGCCACTGTAAAAAAAATCCAACAAAACAAAACAAACAAAAACAAAACCAAAAACAAACGAATCAGTAACAAAACAAAAGCCAGTTTAAAAAATGGGTTTGCAATGTTGACTTTTATTGATTTTACTGTGATCTTCTAGCTATGGTAAGAACGCCATTTCCACTCTTACTTTACTTTTTCTTTACTTCCTACCCATAAAAGTAAACAATTCTAGACAATGTTTTACATCCTTAAAAAGTTCCCAAAACAGGATTTTCCACTGCGGCTGCAATTCCCTTGGGCTTTCCTTTTTCCTCTCCTCTCCTCTCCTCTCCTCTCCTCTCCTCGACAATTTTGTGACTATACCAAAACTGCAATGCTAAATTCTATTATCTTTAATTGCATTGCTAACAGACTAAATTGTGTAGTTAACTTAAACCTCACCAAAGTCTCTGCCTTATTCTGCATTTGCTCATAAGTTACTTTTTACAGGTTATTGTTTTCTCTCCTCAAAAATTCAAAATGCTTTTTCTTTTGAATTAACCCATCTACTACTTCTCCACTTATCAGTTTGGAATTATTGCTGTATTGGTTTCACACAGTTTGATAACTTCATCTTGAATGGCTCTTTGTCTTGGCTTATTTTCTCAGAAGAAAATTTTGTTTTTCAGCAAGCACCTTAAATTCTGCTTCCTTTCAGTCTCCTGAAATATCAGCGTGTGCATTAAAAATAACCTATTTATAATTCTTGAAGGGCAACAGTGGATCAACAGCTTATTGTACTTCTTGTTTATTAGAAGTAATCCCTATTCTGCACCTACAAAAGACAATCAGGGCTTTGCCAGCCAGTGAAATAAAAGCAGGATAAGACCATATGGTTCTTGTTAAACAAGCCTCATCTTCCTATTGTTGATACTTATCTCCAAAATAAAGTATTTCTGCAGAAAGCATATTCCCATAGTATATTCTCTTTCCAATGACCAGCTGGTTGCCAATTTGTTATTTGCACTGCAATAGACCACTTTCATCTATTTCTATTTCGGTCCAAGAACACCATTTGTACATTGTCCAACTTGGAAATGTTAATTTGACACCATTGGTCACGGGCCTTTTAACTTCAAGTGGCAAACTTCCAGCTAGCTGCCAGTTGAGTATTTACATTGGAATGTTTTTTAGCCCAGAAATAAACTATTTGTTCACCATAAGCATCAGCAACACACCAATAATTTCTCCAACCTACATATGTAGAAAGGTGCAACCCACTCCACTTTGCTGTTGTCTCCTCAGTAACCTCCTAAGAAGATCCCTGGGGAGATGCTGCTTGTCTTGAGCCAAGATAAATGCATCTATTTCCCTCTCTATGCATGTACATGACATTCATGGAAGTTACACATGCATATTCAACAGTGAGGAGCAGGACCAAAGTTAGGATGGATGGGCAGGACTCTCACAGCTTCTCCCAAGACCCCAGACTGCCATAAAGCCTGAAACACCTGGAAGACCCCAGTGCAAAAATACCCAGCTGCTTTTGCATAATCTAAATCTTCCTGAACACTAAGCTCCCTGCACATAACCATAAGAGTAGTGTTCAGGAAAGAGGCAACACTGCAAGTGGTTGAATGCAGCTTTTCAGAAAGCACAGTGGCCTGAGTCCCATTGGATTTTGCTTAGGAGATTGCTATTACTTCCAGTAATACAATTTGGACTTCCTGAAAGAATATTATACTTTGAGCTCTTTTCAATGAAGTACAAAACAGAGGCAGGAAAAAAAGTTCTTCTTGGTTCTGTGATTTAACTTCAGGAATGTTATGCAGTGGCAAGCGTGTGTTTCATGTACTTTGTTTGACTCTGTTAAAATAAAACATTTCCCTTTTACTTATTCCTGCAATGACCTGCGGATGGGAGAGGCTAAAGAAAGACTTTAATAAGTTCGAAGTGTAAACTCCATGAATAGAAACCTCCTCCCTTAAAGAAAAAAGAATAGTGACAGTAATGCCCTGTTCTCCCCTTTATTCTTCCTATTTAGTCAGGTAGTATACCCATCAACTTTTGTATTAATCTTCTTGTTCCAAGTAAAAAAGAAAATTCAGTTTGCAGGAGAATTACCAACTGACCCTACAGAAGTACTTCAACAAAACTTCAGAGGACTAACTGAGATGTACAATTTATACTATTTTTTAGCACCTAAAATGCACCTAGTAACATTTAGATCAACATCCCCATCCACCTGCACCACAACCATAAGGAAAATGAAGGTTAAAATGAAAATACTGGCCAGTGTGAAGAGCAGGGTCCTGAAAATGCTTGTTGTGTGAGCTAAGAGAAGGTGTCCACCCTGCATCAGGCTGGACTCCCTCCAAGGCTCCCAGACTCTCCTCCAGAGTCCAGAATGGAACAGGGAGAATTTTCAGTGCTAAGGACATGACTTACAAAGTGATTTTTTATCTTAAAGACTCAGGTGCTAAAAAAATTCACTTTGCCATAGAAGTCATGTGTAAGAGATGCATTTCCTACCCACCTACATGGCTGGACAGAAAAGTGATAAGCGACACTCACTGTTGTAAGAAACTGCAACACCTTGGGTAAAACACAGCTGTAGTGTGAAACCAAGGACTTCTGTTTCCAGTGCTGCAGCCTACTTGCTCCTGCTCCAGTCAATGTCTATGAAAGACATAGCAGTTTCAATTCTGACCTTTGCTTAATTCCTACTCCTTGAGTTTTTGTACCCTCAGCATTCCTTTGGGTGGATTAAACATATGCAAGCATGTAACCATCTATTTTGCATCAACATTTTGATAAACATACATTTTTCTTACCTCGCTTAAAGCTCCTCTTACAATCAAATGAAGGCAAACAAAATATTTTGACGTCTCAAAATACATTCTCTTTTCCGGGAGAGCAAATAAATAGACCTGACAAAAAATAATGTCATAACAATCAGAAACTACAACTTGATCCTTGCTGCTGTAACTTGAAACTTGTAAGAGAAGGTTAAAGTAACCAAAGTCTAAATTCCTGGCCACTATAAAAGCATCTACTCCTTTTGTGTTGTTTTTTCTCTATGGCTAATCCTATTTGGGGCAATCCCTGAGCTCAGTACAATAGCAAAGTACTTCCCCAAAATGATAATGAAAATTTGGCCATTGGAAATTATCCTTGTTGACTCCAGTCAAGCAATAAGAAACAGTAGCAGGCAGAACTGCAGACTAGGGGAGAGTCCTGGACTCCGAGGGGAGAAGAAAATCAAGCCCCTCTCAGAAGAAATCCCATCAGGGAAAAACAAGAGTCTGCAAAAAGGTAACAGGCCTGAGAAGAATGATGAGGAGACTGGGGAAGAACTCCAGGACACCAGAGAAAAGAGGTTGAGCTGTTGAAGTAAGACTCAGAGAATTTAAAAAGAGAGGCCTGGGGCTAATCTTTCTGCTGTTTTTTTTCCCCTTATTTGTTTATTTGCTACAATTCAGATTTTAGAGCAATTAGTAAAATATCATGCAAATATTCCCTGTGTGACTGCACATGAATAACTTCAATTTTGCTAAACATTTGTCTCATTCCAAAATACATCTGCTGTTTGCATTAAGATAATCTGCTGAAATGTTGGGAAGTAAATTACAGTTTTTATAAGATATTTATGAAACATCTTCTTATTTGTATACTAAATATCTTTGACTATCTCGGCCTGTTTTTTTGGCTGACGTTTGCCTTCCCCAGGAGCATCCATGCCCTGTTTCAATTACAGACTGGGCTAAGTACCATCTTGTGGAAAAGCTCCAATTGGCTGGAAATTGCTCAGTGTACACTCATAACAGGCTGAGGGAGTAGTATTTTATCTGCCAGCAGCCTATGACAGAAAATTAAAAAAAAAATCCAACCCAAAAACAAAATACAAGGTTGCAGACATGCACAAATTACATGGTTTTGTAGAAATTCTGACATGACACCACAGGAGTATGTGTCCCTCCACTCAGATACTTCTATAAATGCCCTTATGGAGAAACAACAATTAGGCTTGGAGGTTTCTCCCAGTCCCTGCTTGGTGAGCACACGGCATACAGGGAAGTAAATTAAAACAATTTTTGACTTTTTCATTCTCTTGGGGTTGTCCCAGTCTCTTGTCATGCAGAGCATTCCTAAGGGGTTGGTTAGTATTCCTGCAGCCCAGCTGAGTATGCGTGTAGCTCCGTTTCCAGGTTTTCAAAGGAGATGTGAAAAATCAGCTAATTTTTTATCTTCCAGCACTGACTTTTGATGTGGGACCCGTAATCATAACCCCAAAGGGTGCCCCCATGAGGACACAGGCTAGTTGAAGAAGGCAGAGGATAACAACCAACCAGATCTGTGCGCCGCTGCAATTGGAGAATATTGCTGCTGTACAGTCAGAGACAGACCTGCCAGAGCTTCAAGCCTGGGTAGGCAGAGCTGTTGGAACTCAGGGCATGCAATGAAACCCTCCTGAGATGCAGATAAATCCTAGATCTCTGCCATAGCTTGTTCTATGCAGAATCTGCATTTCTGGCAGTCCCCAAAACACTTCATGAAAATTAGATGATGTAGCTACATGAGCTGTGCCCATGTGAGCATGAACTCACCAGTAAAACTAAAAGTTATGCCTATGTATCCCTTAAAACCCAGTCTAGACCTCTCAGGAGCTGCCTCGGTCCCACAGCCAATGTGTAGCTGTGCTGTGTGCTGTCTAGAAAGCCACCAAGGAGCTTTTGACCCTCCAAACTTCTCTGACTATCTGAGACTTTGTGCCCATTCATGGATAATGACTTAGTGTGGATTCCTTGTCCACACATATGGTGTTTCTGGCTTTGAGGGTTTTGAAGGTTCAGGTCAGAGGTGCTAGAAGTGGAATTTGGATGTGCAAATCAGATTAGCACTGTGTCTCTTTCATTCCATTCAAAGCTGCTCCAAACCTACTCGACAGGTTAAAAATTCAATGTCCATTTTAAAAGAAAATTAACTGAAAATAGAAGAGGAAGCCAGAGGCACATGGGTTTGCATTTAGGTGATCTGAATTCTGGATGAAGAAGTCTGGGAAAGAGATAAGGAGATTGAAACATTTCAACACCACTTGTCATCTTAACTCACAAATCCCACTTTGGTTTGCTATTAACATTGCCTACATGGAGTCCAGCTTTAAAAATAATAAAAGGATTGTATGACCTGACTCACCCTTCTCTTGCTTAGACCCCACACAGTAGCTACAACATCGCTTGTTTGGTCACACATTTGATTGGCCCAAGGACCCCCAAATTGATGTAAGAGGGCAGGGAAGCAAGTAGGAGGGGCTGTATCAGCATGGATCTCTGACTCTCACAGCAAAATTCTGACAGCCTGTGGCTGCATGGCCAGGTTCAGGCTGCCTCACCAAGGTCTATCGGTTCCACACGCCACGCTGAGGCCTGCCTGCTGTCCCAGCTCCATGGAGCCAAGGGCTCTGGCAGGGACCACACTGGCAATTGTGCAATCCTGCCCAGCCACAGATGTCCTGTGGCACCAGCAGCACAATAGTGGGCCTGTTGGTAAACGAGAATTGTTTCCCTGCCACAATAGGGCTCTGGATGAAATCATTCCCCGATACCAGGCATCCTTGACGTGCCTCCTCTGCTCCCCACCCTGGTTTAGTTGGTAGCGCCTTCCTGCTCCCTGTGGGCTACAAGTCCCTCATAAAATGACAACACAATAAAACAAAATAATAACGGAATCCATATAAGGCTTGATGTCTTCATTACTTCTAAGAAAAAATGCCAAGGGAACTTCACCTGAACAGAGGCAGCAGATTCCCAGCACTGGCAAAGATTTTTTAAGAGGAAGAAAAAACATTTTTCAAGCCCTGGATGCCAGCATCTGTCTCACATATCCTCAGCTGTTCACCCACATAGGAAAAAAGCAGGTAGCTACAGGAAACTAATCCCTGGGTCTGGCAGGTATATGTGGACCTTAACTTCTTGGGGCTGTCTGAGAAGGGAGATGCCTGCTGACAGCCCCATCACAGAGGCTTTGGCAAGGCTGGCCTGCTCCCAGTATCTCCCTTCCTGGTGGCATTGGGGACCATCAGGCTCTAGCAGAACATTTTGTGGTCAGAGTAATTGCATTGTATTGTCTTAAAACTGCTGAGGCGTGGCCCTAAGTAAAACCAGAGCCCCGGTCTCAGTCCAGGCACAGCAGCCCCCAGCTCCCTGTGCAGGCTGTCTGATGCATGGCCCAGTCCAATCCTGCTGCACAGCTTTTATTTTAGACATATGGTTATTAATGAACTTTTAATTGCATAGAGGGGAAAGAAGGATAAACATATGATTTGGGAGAAATACATACATGTCAGTCTCTCTCATATCGCTCTGTATTTTGGTGTCCTAGAACCTAAACGCACCATTTAATTATTTGTGCTGGCAGTGCCAGAGAAACCTACTATTTATTTATATGGGTAAATCAGCTGCAGATGTGACTGTGCTCTTTCCTTCATTCTTTCTTTCCTTTACTGTTGGCATTTCTGAAATCTCCAGGATGCTCCCCCCCACCCCCTTGTTCAATGGGGGCATCTGAGAAGTATTGGGAAATGGCCTACTGATCCTCTCCAGTCCCGCATCCCACATCACTCTCAAAGGACTGGGCTATTCTCCTGCTCAAAAGCAAGGCTCGACAAATTAAGACCTCAAACACCAGGAACTGAGGAGAAAAGGAAAATTTCCTGTGCCAAGGAAGGCTCCTCTGGTGAAGGAATTCCCACAACTGAGACCTCACAGCTCACAGCACCTGTGGGTACATGCTGGAGGAACTGAGTACCAGAGGGCAGGAGAATAATGCTGCTTCTTGAGAAACCCAAACCAATTTTTGTCCCTACTAACAAGCAGCTCCTTTTTTTTTTTTTTTTTTTTTTTTGAGGGCAGGGACTGTATGGAGGATCTGTCTAAGCTGGGTTTTGGCAAAACCTACTGCCTGGCTATCACTGTTACTTGCTTGCACCAGCCATGTCTTGTGGTTTGGGTTTAACCCTATGAAAATCAGGCTTAGCATTAGCTTTTAGCATTAGCCAGGTGACACAGTGAAGTCAGAGATGCTTGCTTGACTTTCAGAAATGCTATCAATTTTTGCATTATCATTTTTCCACCCAGTATCATGTTTCCTTTCTTGAATAGAATTTGCATAATCAGGGTACCAGCCACTCCAAGCAGCATGCCAACAATTGCCATCTGAAATCAGGACAAATATTGTTCTACCCCTTTTGGCAGGAGAAGGCAATCTCTTTCTGCTTTACCTGGAAGACAGTCATCAAGACTAACTATCCCTGAGAAGAAATTTAATGCTACATCCAGAAAATGCACTTCAGATTCTTTTGGCCAGAGACTGATGTTTCCTAGTACCATTCTAGGATGCTTAAATGATGTGGTAATAGGTGGAGTAGAAGCATTTAGGAGGTAGGACCGTTAGGAAGTGATGATGCAGTTTTGAACTTCCAAACACACTAACAGCTGATGTTCACGTGTTGAAACCACATTTGCTGTTGGAGAGCTGTAGTGTGAGTGGTGCTGGGGATGTCAGGTGCTGGCTGTACCACCCCACCAAGGCAGCCCAGACGGTTTTCAAAGACAAACACCATCTCTCTAAGGGCATTTCCAAGTACCATTTGTAAAACTACTCTTGGGGAGGCTGGTCACAACATGAGTGACTCTTTATATTGACCCATACATAAGGAGGATAACTTGGTTTCTCTGATTTACGTTGTAGCAATTATCCACTATGAACAGTTATTCTGCAATCTGGTTCATCCTTTACTATGTGAAAAGGTAAAATATCCATGAAACTGTTTCACCCATACATTTGTATACATGCAAAGACTCAAGATGTTAAATACATGTATTTATTATGTTTTGTTAGTTATCTACATTTTGTTGTTTTCTCTTTTATA